CATAAATCCCATATTATCTGCCAATTAGTTAATATATGCCCCTTTTACTTCCCTTGAAAGATTCCTTCCGGTAAGTCAGGGGTTTTCGACCTTTTTCTTTCCTCTACCTTTCCAGGATCCTTAATCGATTGCATTACTCCCCTTCCCAACATAAATCGCTAGGCCTACAATCTATAAGATTTACCTACAATCTGTTTCATGTCGGAGAATAAATCATAACAGCCCCCCTCAACCCATAAAAAAGAATACTTTCAAAATTACCCCTATAATCACCGACAGATTGAAAACCCCTGTAACTCATATCACTTCAGCTGTGTCGTTGATCATTTCTAAAATGAAGTTTAAATGCTTCTAGAACTGATTTTGTTAATAAAGGACAAACAAAAAATGAACAGAGCTTGAAAATAATTTAAGAATACAGTAATAGCAGCTTTTAATTAGTAGTTGTCCATCAAAATCGATATAGAAGATCATCTAAAAGGTTGATTTGGCCTGTGATACTGATTTTGTCTGAGAAAAGATTAAAACTTTATGTAATGTTATCGTGACTATTCTTAATAAAAATTCTGAATACAAGATCATCTCATTATTTTGTGATTGTTATTTCAGATCAGTTGAGGTTAAAAGATTTACAAGTAAAATATCTCCAAAATATAGCTGATTCCGTACTTTGTACTTTCAGTTTTTTCTGCATCATCAATGAAATTCTTTAAATCTTGCGCATTCGAATTTTAACACTTTAGTATCAAAAGGCAACTTTCATTAATTTTAACCATCTAATCAACCCCAAAACGCTATTAACATTGGGTTAACAAGGTCAATTCCAAAATGTCTCACACGCAGTTGATAAATCATGAAACAATATTTGATTGGTTGGGTATTCTTGTGGCCATCAACATATATTGTATAATAATTTCTTAAGATCATTAGTGGAGTTCTCCATAGAATAAATATGAAAAAAGAAATATCGAAATCTGAATTTTAATGAGATTGCTGGTCAAACTGTCCTCTAAAAATTCATTAAAGTTGTGTGAAATCTGAGAAATGAATTCTACTTGACAATCTATTCACAAAGTGGCATCTTTTATGTAACATAAAATTATACAGGAACATACATGAAACGAATAATAATCAGAAATACTTCTGCAATTTACTTGGATTACGCGAATAATAAATTAAATAATGTGAATTTTTATTTTCGCAGAATTTTTTTCTTAGAAACATTCCTAAAATATTGTTTCCAGACTGTATCTTTTGGAATAATGCAATTTTATTCAAGCAAGAAACAAGATTATAGTGAATTAAAGAAAGTGGAAATACCAAGAATTCATGTTTGAAAGAATAGAAACAACTCAGACGAAGAAAGAGATTAAACTTTGTAAACCGACTATTGAAATATACCATAATTTCTCAGCTTTCTCAATAATTACAATAATTAGTCGACGTTTCACATCAAAATTTTGACAGCAACAGATTTTTTTTTATTCCTTTCTATTTATTTTCATTGGCAATTTGTCTGGAACGTTGTAATTTTCATCTCAAATTATTCGACTCAGTTATTTTTATTCTGAAATTTGTCAATTTGAAATTCTGATATATTTGAAAAAAAAAGGAAAATATTAAATTGTTTTGTTTTTATATACATGTAATTCAATTACATATTTCTAAGTTGATTTACTTTTGGAGTTGAAGCGTTTGGCACCATAAAAATGTATCGCCTGCTGTCTGAAGGGGGTCAATTAAGTTTATAATCTGATGCCAGGACATGATCATAGAATTCCCGGAGTGCTACCGGCCGATCATACTATTTCGAATGATTCTTGCTCGGCAGATATACATAACTCTAGTATGCGACAATGAATAGGCGTAACCGAACATTAGGATGGAAGCTGTACTATAATGGGTAATGATTCATGAAGATAATAATTTATTATTTATTATCTTCATGAATCAGCATAAAACCTACGTCAACAGGAAGGAAACTGTTAGTTATTTGTGGAGGGTGTTTAGCCGATCTATTTGAAAATAAACAATTTTTAGTGAACTGACTTAACAAGGGAAAGTTCATGGAACCATTAAAGGGAAATGACTCACAACAAAATAAAATTCAGACCAATATTGTGTGATTTGTATCATATCTCCAGTAAATTATTTATCACTCAGAGAGAGTATCAACTGAATTGACTTTGGACTTGCTTGACAAGAACGAGACTATTATGATATATTGATAGAGCTAGACAAGAATGCGACTATTATAATGTATTGATAGAGCTAGACAAGAAGAGACTATTATAATGTATTGATAGAGCTTGACAAGAATGAGACTATTATAATATATTGAAAGAGCTAGACAAGAATGACACTATTATAATATATTGATAGAGCTAGACTAGAATGAGACTATTATAATGTATTGATAGAGCTAGACTAGAATGACACTATTATAATATATTGATAGAGCTTGACTAGAATGAGACTATTGTAATGTATTGATAGAGCTAGACTAGAATGAGACTATTATAATATATTGATAGAGCTAGACTAGAATGAGACTATTATAATATATTGATAGAGCTCGACTAGAATGAGACTATTATAATGTATTGATAGAGCTAGACAAGAATGAGACTATTATAATGTATTAACAGAGCCAGACTAGAATAAGACTAATGTAATATATTGACAGAGCTCGACAAGAATGAGACTGTTATAATATATTAACAGAGCCAGACTAGAATAAGACTAATGTAATATATTTTTAGAGCTCGACAAGAATGAGACTATTATAATATATTGATACAGCTAGACAAGAATGAGACTGATGTAATATATTAACAGAGCCAGACTAGAATAAGACTAATGTAATATATTGACAGAGCTCGACAAGAATGAGACTGATGTAATATATTAACAGAGCCAGACTAGAATAAGACTAATGTAATATATTGACAGAGCTCGACAAGAATGAAAATGATGTAATATATTGATAGAGCTTGACAAAAACATCGATAAAATATCCCTATCACTTGACACTTGACTAGCATTTTTGTATGGACAGAGCTCAACTCACTAACCGATGTAATCATTGCAGAGCTTAAACCAGGATCTGCATATTACATGTATTAGACGAGTTCGGCATGAATGGAAACTGATTTGACACAACTGAAATAGCATGTCAACATTTTATGCAAGTAAATTCTGAAGCTCTGAAGACAAACAAACCCAATTTTACGAATTTGTTATAAATGTGGTCCAGTTAATTTCTTTAACAAATGAAACGAATCATTCCCCTATCAAGTATAGCATGTGAGACTCTTTTTAAGTTGTGTTGCTGGTAATGTAATCATGTCTGTTATGTCTAACGATTTTTAAGAATTCTACAAACTTGATCGGTTTAATTTGATTTGTGTCGTTTAATTTTAATGAATTTAGTGGTCGAGACAATAGGCATTCAGAACCTGTTAATTAGAGCAAAACAAAATATGACGTTATTATCCACATGCAAGATATCCCAAGATAAAGATTAAGTTGGCGTGTCCGAAGTTTTGAGGCAGGTGCAAGGGGAGAACCTTTGCAAGAACCTGTCCGAAAGGACGTATTTTACACTTTTAAACTGCATGGATATGGAATTTTATCTATCAAGTGAATATCTGAGTTAATATACTTGAGTTTATATACTTTTTTAAACAGTATTTAGATTTACAATAACGAAGTGCAGTAGTATTCTGTCCGGTATGATGTTGGTGATTGTCTATGAAGCTGCTGTCTTTCTCTCGGGTATGGTGTTGGTGAGTGTCCAGTTAGCTGTTGTCTGACTCTCCGGTTTGGTTTTGATGATTAACATTGAAGCTGCTGTCTTTCTTTCGAGTATGGTGGTGGTGTTTGTCCAGTAAGCTATTGTCTGACTCTCCTTTATAGTGTTGGTAATTGTCAATGAAGCTGTTGTCTTTCTGTCGGGTATGGTGATGGTGATTGTCCAGTAAGCTGCTTTCTGACACTCCGTTATATTGTTGGTGATCGTCAATGAGGCTGTTGTCTTTCTGTCGGGTATGGTACTGATGATTGTAAATCTACCTGCCGTCTTTCTCTCGGGTATGGTGTTGGTGATTGTTCAGTAAGCTGCCGTCTTTCTCTCGGGTATGTTGTTGGTGATTGTCCAGTTAGCTGTTGTCTGACTCTCCGATATGGTTTTGATGATAAACATTGAAGCTGCTGTCTTTCTTTCGAGTATGGTGGTGGTGTTTGTCCAGTAAGCTATTGTCTGACTCTCCGTCATAGTGTTGGTGATTGTTAATGAAGCTGTTGTCTTTCTGTCGGGTATGGTGTTGGTGATTGTCCAGTAAGCTGCTGTCTGACACTCCGTTATAGTCTTGGTGATTGTCAATGAAGCTGTTGTCTTTCTGTCGGGTATGGTGTTGGTGATTGTCCAGTAAGCTGCTGTCTGACACTCCGTTATAGTGTTGATGATTGTCAATGAGGCTGTTGTCTTTCTGTCAGGTATGGTACTGATGATTGTAAATCCATTTGCCGTCTTTCTCTCGGGTATTGTGTTGGTGATTGTCAAGTAAGCTGTTGTCTGACTCTCTGGTATGGTGCCGGTGATTGTCCAGTAAGCTGTTGTCTTTCTGTCGTGTATGGTACTGGTGATTGTCCAGTAAGCTGTTGTCCTTCTCTCGGATATGGTGTTGGTGATTATCCACAAAGCTGTTGTCTGACTCTCCGTTATAGTGTTGGTGATTGTCAGTGAAGCTGTTGCCTTTCTGTCGGGTATGGTACTGATGACTGTAAATTCAGCTCTTGTCTTTCTGTCGGGTTTGGTGTTGATGATTAACAATGAAGCTGTTGTCTCTCGGGTAAGGTGCCGGTGATTGACAATGATGTCGAGGTTTCATCATGCTAATAATCAAATGCACCCAATGATTTCTATTTTCGGAAAGTGTTGTAACTGTCAGTTAATTGTCAAGTCTATATAACATTATAGAATTAGTTATTTGTAAATAGGTAATAAGAATATGGATAGATAAATAACTGTGATATATTGTAGAACAGGTATTTAGAATATAGATAGGTAAGTATTTGTGATATATTGTAGAACAGGTATTTAGAATATAGATAGGTAAGTATTTGTGATGTATTGTAGAACAGGTATTTAGAATATAGATAGGTAAGTATTTGTGATATATTGTAGAACAGGTATTTAGAATATAGATAGGTAAGTATTTGTGATGTATTGTAGAACAGGTATTTAGAATATAGATAGGTAAGTATTTGTGATATATTGTAGAACAGGTATTTAGAATATAGATAGGTAAGTATTTGTGATATATTGTAGAACAGGTATTTAGAATATAGATAGGTAAGTATTTGTGATGTATTGTAGAACAGGTATTTAGAATACAGATAGGTAAGTATTTGTGATGTATTGTAGAGCAGGTATTTAGAATATAGATAGGTAAATATTTGTGACAGGTTATGTATCATCGGGTTTGGTAAAAATGAGCAAATTATCGGTCTAAATCCCAATCAATCACCCAAGCATGGAATATTAATATATGATATTATAAGTCACTTGTGTAGTGTTACAAGCCAGTAAGACTTTTCTAACGAACCTTCACTTGCTGTCTACAATGGCTGTAAGATGGATGTTGTTGATGCTGATTGTATACATTGGAATGACTCAGTTCACTTTAGCTCAAAGGTCCAGAAATTACATTTTAGTTGGAAAAGAAGGGTACATGAAGGAACATACCAAATTTTTGTATGGCCCCAGGTCGAAATTAGAATGTGCAATTATATGTTTGAAAGAAAGCAATTGTTTATCGTTTACCTACAACGGATTGTCAAGGCAATGTATTTTGTCAAATAAATATGTAGATGAAAATGATTTCGTTCAAGGGCATTTTGGAATTATGGCATTTACGAAAAGGAACAATACAGAAATATCGTAGGTAAGATTCTGAAATTACATTTAGCTCTTGAATAGTAAGGAAATGGGTAGTTTGTATAATTTGGTAATAACAGACCGAGAAAGGCGTTTTCCATAGGAGCGATGGGCCCAAGACAGGGAAACTGTTGACTGCAGGAAATGACTTGGTTAAGACGGTGAAGAGCTTCTCATGGAGGGAGGGTGGTTTGGTAGTGGCGGATCAGAACCTGGGTCACTTTACAGAGTCATGTCTGGTTAAGGGATTTGATATTCTCGCCGACGGCTCAGGTTTTCATTGCCGGATGGATAAAACTCAGAGACTTGGCGTTTGGTCGGCAAATAGTGTTGTGTTGTAGAATAATAAGTATTAGGTAGGTGGGTTAGTGCCGTGTTGTAATATAATTTAAGAAGTATGAGGTAGGTTAGTGCCTGTTGTGTTGTAGAATAATGAGTATTAGGTAGGTGGGTTAGTGCCGTGTTGTAATATAATTTAAGAAGTATGAGGTAGGTTAGTGCCTGTTGTGTTGTAGAATAATGAGTATTAGGTAGCTGTGTTGTAATATAAGTAATATTAGATAAGTTAGTGTTGTGTTGTAGTACAAGTCGTATTAGGTAGGTTAGTGTTGTGTTGTATTATAGGTAGTTGGTGATACTGCATTGATATATTGTGAGGAAATACCAGATACATGAGTGTCATTTTCCAAGGAATACCTTTTATGCGCAGTGGTGACCATATGTGCAATATCACTTTAAAACCTAAATATTTGTAATATTCATATACTGTAGTAAAATAGAATTCCCTACCTCTCTTTCTGCTGTTTGGTTTTCCATTTGTTTAATCATGGAATGCTTACTTTTTTTTGATAGTTAGTTTATATAGGAACAGTATCCACCAAGATGTTTAAATCAGGAAAACTGTGCTCAAAATATGACATTTTGTATTTATTTGCAGGTTCCTTCAGATTAAATATATCCCACTAAAGGTACATCCATTCCTGGGTAATAAATATGGATTTAGAAAGTGATTTTTATGAATTCCGCCAACAATGAACGGATTTATCCGATCATTTTTTAATGAACATTGTGTTACACTTTTCACCAATGATCTGTACTGAGTACCTTAATTTCGAAAAGAAATATTTAAAATAAAAGAGAATGAATGAACGTGTTAAATTCAATTTTGATTTTTAAGCAATATATGTTGAACAGTCTGTAAATTTAACCATATTGCTGTGAAACGCTATCTATGTATTTTACTAATTATAAGATAATTTGGGTTTATTTCTTTTTGATGTACATGAATTTGTTTTACTTAGTCAGAACACCATGTTTGAAAATATTAACTGCGAAATAAATGTGTACAAATAACATCTTATTTTATTAATTTTCATATGACTTCCAATTGAAACTGTATCGTGATGTTGGCAATTTGCAGTATAAAATCACATTCCCGAAATTACTGCGTACTGGAATAAATTTGAGAAATGAATTGAGTTTTACGGCCTACTTTTCTGCACCATGTGGGCTAATGGAGGCGGAGATAAATTGAAGCAAAGATATTAATGCACATTGGGTCGCATTATTAGAACAACCTTTAATAATAACAGAATAATAAATATTTGTCAGTGCCTGTAATACAATAATATATGACCATCTGTATTCCGAAACCTAATGGCATTCTTAGCAACAATGGCTTCAAACTCTAAAAAAAAAGGGCAGAACCGAGGAAACAATCTATTGGCAATGCACAACATGCTGCTAACAATGCTACGGAAAAGATGGACAGGACCATTTTTCAAGATTATGAAATCAGTAATATGTAAGAGCGGCACACAAGGGCTGATAGATGACACGAGACCATCGTAAGCATCGAGGCAACCATATAAAATATATATTTTTTTGACACCTCATTTGAATTTTTTACGAGTTGATAAAGCTCAATTTCAGCTATCTGCATCAATGTTGACATGCAGCTCCGTATAATCCTCAAAACTAAAATAATCATTCAGACGACCATATTGAAAGTATATCGGAAAACTTGCGATAATGATTGATGGACTGTAAATATAATCCATGCATATCATATAATATATAATATCTCTTTGAACAAATTGACAATAGAATATCAGATTCCTGCGCACTCCCTTGAACCTCGAAATTCGATCATTTGATTTTTCTTTCTCGCATTAAAGGGATTGTAAAGAAGTTTTCTAAAAAAAATTATGTGTATCGGGTACACTTGAACCATTCCTACTTTTTATCTGACGTTTATGGTTTCTGCAATTCATCTAAAACTATGTGTTTGCTGTCGTCATAAATTGCAAAATATGTTTTATTATATCACGATTAGTTTCAAGACATAATATCACGATTAGTGACGTCATCAAACACTTTGATTTAATGCAATTATATACACAAGACATCAAGCTCGTGTATGTGATATTCAAAGACTATACCTTTCAGATTTTCTACACTGATTGTTCATGCGCATCCATAATACCTGTCATACTCTCATGTTCATGATCTATTATTATTAATAATTCATACGGATACGAACACACTCTGTTTAAGCTGTTAGTGTGAGCTGCAAGTGTAAGCTTCGAGTGTAAGCTGCTAGTGCGAGCTGCTAGTGTAGGCTGCTAGAGTGAGCTGCTAGAGTTAGCTACTAGAGTGAGCTGCGAGTGTGAGCTGCTAGTGTGAGCTGCGAGTGTGATTTGCTAGAGTGAGCTGCTGGTGTGAGCTGCGAGTGTGAACTGCTAAAGTTAGCTGCTAGAGTTAGCTGCTAGTGTGAACTGCTAGTGTGAACTGCTAGAGTGAGCTGCTAGTGTGAACTGCTAGAGTGAGCTGCTAGAGTGAGCTGCTAGTGCGAGCTGCTAGTGTGAGCAGCTAGAGTAAGCTGCTAGTGTGAGATGCGAGTGTAAACTGCTAGAGTGAGCTGCTAGTGTGAGCTGTGAGAGTAAGCTGCTAGAGTGAGCTGCTAGTGTGAGCTACTAGTGTGAGCTGCTAGTGTGAACTGCTAGAGTGAGCTGCTAGAGTTAGCTGCTAGAGTGAGCTGCTAGAGTTAGCTGCTAGACTGAGCTGCTAGTGTGAGCTGCGAGAGTAAGCTGCTAGAGTTAGCTGCTAGTGTGAGCTGCGAGCGTGAACTGCTAGAGTAAGCTGCTAGTGTGAGCTGCGAGTGCAAGCTGCGAGTGTGATCTGCGAGTGTAAGTTACGAATGTAAGCTGCTAGTGCGAGCTGCTATTGTAAACTGTTAGAGTGAGCTGTTACAGTGAGCTGCTAGAGTACGCTGCTAGTGTAAACTGCTAGTGTGAGCTGGCTGTGTGTACTGTGGGTGTGAGCTGTTAGTATAAGCTGCGAGTGTGTGCAGTTAGAGTGAGCTGCGAGTGTGAGCTGCGAATGTGAGATGCTAATGTAAACTGCTTGTTGAGCTGTTATTGTGTGCTGGTATGTAATTTGTCCAGTGTTGTTTTAAGTGTTTTAGTTGCTGTATGTGATTAAACCAAAATTTATTTATGCAATAGAAACAGTTCTGACAAATCTTTGAGGATTCCTGAGTTGCTTATGCTTAATGGATAGTGTATATGCCGTTTTAAAACTTAAAGTTATCTTAACATCAGCATCTGAGTGGTTGCATCGCCTTAAGGTGACCACTGTCAATCATAAACCCTCAAATTGTTGCATTACCATAAAACGCATTTGGTTCCACATAAAGATAACTCTTTGTCTTTTGATTGAGAGACAGTTATGTCTTAATAGTTTAATTTTCAATCTTTTAAATAAAGCACCAGTCAATCTTTTGCCATGAAATAAAAAACAAACAAACAAACAAAATGAAATAAACAAACATTAGACACAATATAATTAATAAATTATTTAGAATATATTTATACTCTCGTTTATGGACAAATTGTTAGGTTAAGGATATGAAAGCAATTGTACAACCTGCTTTTAATTTGTATTTAGATTGCTGTAGGGATTCTGAACCATTCGACATGGCTTGAGAAAGCATTCAACTCCGGATTAGTCAAAGTAGAAGACACGATAAAAGTTAACGAAACATCGAGTAGCAAACCTAGAACACTTCTAGATAGGAATAAAATGAATTGTAAGGTGTGCGCTAGAAGACCTGTGGGAAAGTCTCGATGGAAAACAGTCCAGCATCAGATTATGAAGCCCTATATTTGAAGTATTAGTAAGTTCTTAAACGCCCTTATAACAGTTACAATAGGCCAATTCTATTGTTATAATGGTTACGTTCTCGACAACCTTTTTCAATCAATAAAAATTCAAAAGTTCCAGTAGATTGCACAAGTTGTAAAAATACCAAAGAAAATGTCCACAGTGCACTATTTTAATAAAACAAACAATCCAAATGATATATCCTCACTTCAATCATTCACCACACTTATAACTAATCCAACAGTCTGATAAAAACACGGTTTCAATTTGTGGTTCAAACATTCAAACGGTTTACAGAAATATAAAAACTATAAAAACACGTTCTCCCATTGAAACTTTCGATTTCAACCTTCATGTCTTAACTTGTCTTCTCTGTTATGATACCTTTCAACTTCATGTAGAAAGAATAGTCGGAGATGAAATCGGAGTGGTAATTGATGTTGTAGGAGTGGTTTTCAGAATTCCGTTCTGTTTCTGAAAGAAGAGAAAAGGCTATGTTAGAAATAGAGACAAACTTTACCTTGCTTAATTCATTTATAATAAAATTATAACGTATAAGAGCTTGAAAATTATGCGAAGTTTCTTCTGTGAGATGTAGAATTATTTATTGTTTGTGATGCCGTCAAAAACGTGAAATGTGTCAAAAGCAGAACACAGAACACAATTTTACTGCTAATTTTAAAGAAATTATCGCAATATTGGCAATATATCACATAAATGAACTAAAGATCACCAATATTGACAATATACCACTCATCTTTACGATTTATTGTCGATATATACTGTATAACACCGATATGGGATATAAATCGTGATATTAACAACATAGTTTCAATAATGTAAAGCCAATATGAAAATTATGACACCATCATTTACTACATACAGCGCTCTGAAATATTCATAGAGTACAATAACTAATACTGGATAAACATTGGGTTGAATTTGTATCAGAGAAGATACGTCATATAGCCAGTGAGTTGAATCCGGAATAATTTTGTTTTCATGTTATACCATCAAGAAAATTGTGCATCGCCTTGCCATATATAAAATTAATCCAAAGATATTTATTTTTATTCTGTAATGGGTCATTTAATTACGTCTGGAAATACGTAGTAAAATAAGTATGACCCCCAGTAGCGTATTTGGGGGATGGTCATTGATAGTTATTTTGAATGAAGTATAAATCCCTAAATGTTCAAAATTCACCTTTGGTCATCTGAAATTTATGGACTTCTGGGGGGTCTCTGGCCTGAAGAGGCTTTAGCCCTTTGGGTCTCGCCTCGGAGAGACACCTTTCATTTTTGGTACCCTCCTCAGTCATGTTCAAGATGGTGATCCTCCGAAGTTATGAAGAAATTCATTTGAATACAATTTAGTCTGTAGTATTTCTTGATTTCAATTCATAAGAGTTGTTTCCCCTTTATCGAAAGAACTGTGATCATGAATATGTAGAGTCAATGATTTATTTATGGCTTGGCTTGCACATCATATAACTTCTTCGGTTTACAACTTGTGCTACTCAATGTTTTTCATTCCAGATCTGAGCACATCATTTTTAGATTAGGCATGTAGCTATTTGTTAGGGTAGAACCAGAAACATTATGAAATGATTGCATGGAAAATGGACATGAACACTGTATTTCAATTTGAGAAAGCCATGACAATTTAACGCTCTAAAATTTCCGTATTAACCATTCTCAAGTTAAGGATAGCGGATTACTTAGATATTCAAACATATGCAGCACATAAAAAGCATGTATTATTTAATTGCTTAATAGCCTTAATACCGTTTGAATTTCAGAAGCTAACGTTTACCACTCGGATTTGACTATAAAATGATCGACGTTACATGCAAAAAACACATAGAATGAGAAAACCATGCTCTTGAATATAAAGATGGGTTAGGCTATATGACACAAAGCAAATCGCAAATAAACAAACACATTTAAACAAAAATCTCATTCTTATTATATAAAACAAACAAATTTACAAAATATAACTATGATATACAATTTAAAACGTAAACTAAACTTTATTCTTCGGTATCTGGAATTGGATATGTAAAATAGCATGCTCTTGCCTTGTTTGATAATAATTTTATTCCTTGGAATATAATGATACAAGTTGTTGAGCATGATTCATTTTATTTAGTGGATTGTAAATATTTAAGGGAAAGTAGGTACATTCCGTCAAATGGGTTCAATCTCAAGGAGTGTATGGTAATAATCACTTCAAATCATGAGTTTCACACAGAGTTATTTGTTCTATAAATGCATGCAAGGTGATTACAAAAAATCTATAAACACAAAACACAAAAATTCAAATTCTATTTTTAATGATATTAATAGACACTCCACAAACAGAATAAATGACGTCATACTTGGCTGCATAATCCACCTTGTCCATGATCGGATTCGTTGGATGATGTATCTTGGGATGACGTCAGAGAATAGTTTGCAGAATCACGTCTGCCTATTTCTGGTTTTTTATTTATTAAATGGACGGGTCTGGGAAATAAATAGTCTTTATCGGTTTGATAATCGAGTCTACCATTAGTCAGTTTATTGCTTCCGGTAGGAACAGTTTCTGGACTTAATCCACCGTTTATTGAAGAGTTTGAAGAGGGAGATAAGTCTGTTGGAGATTTAAAGGAACTACACTTGCTATCGTCACTAAATCCTGAACTACTGTTTTGTCTCATAGGTCCGTCCGTCACACCGGCACGTAACGGCGAGTCACATATATGATTTTTCAAATCTAAGTTTTCTAAATTTACTTTTAAATAAGAGTCATCGCTCTGGCGATCTATTCCTTTGCTACGACGCTTTAAGGAGTCAATATTTGGCTTTGTAGCATCATTTCCGAAAGATCCTGAGCTTTCCAGGATGTTTCGTTTTTCTTTATAATTATTCGCTGCTTTTGACGATTCTCTTACTTTATCTCGAAATGAAGACATTAAAGTTGGTAGTTGATCCGATATTGTACTAAAACTCGCTTCATCACTACAAGCTGACGTGTTATTCAGGTTATTCTCACGAAGTCCAAGGCTGTTCCGAAAGTCACGTGGTACGGGTGTCGATCCGGAATTCTGACGTAATAGCACGTTCGTTGGATTCAATTGTTCTATGTCGTCCGTGTTTTTGTTCTGTACGTTATTTGGAGTGTGTACATCAACCTGAACATTCACATGATTCGGTTCCACAATGACAGGGGTGCGACTCCGAGAACGTGCACGCCTATCATCCACGGATAAACTATTATTTCGTGTGTCTTGAAATGTTACGCGCGCGCCATTTTTTCGCGATGTTTTTCTGCGAGCTCCACCTGATGGCATAGAATCCAAATCAGTCGAAAATGTTTCATTAAAATTTGGATTTTCAGAATTTTCAGTGGTGATGTCATCCTCTGACGGACAAGGCTCGTGGGTTTCTATCAAAATTCCATCATAAGTTGGAAGTGGTGACCTACTTCGCGGAACGTTCAACATATCCATTTCCAGACGTTTTGAATCGAAAGTAGGATTTTTTACGATGCTTTCTCGACTTCCGATCATAAAGACTGGTTTCTTTAAAGGCACATAATCTAGAATTTTAAACTTCCACTGTTGTTTGACGGTTAAACCACACCACACCATAATCCAGAATAACATATAACACACATCCACAATAACACACGTCAAAACTAAACTGTCACTGGATAACCTATATACAGTCACTAAATCAAAAACTACAGGTCCTTTACAAATAGCCATACAGACTAAACAGACAGTTGCGCATGTGTGAGGGATATAACCACGACAACCGCTATGGACGATAACTGTTTGTTTCACGTAAGATTCAGGATTGTGCTTCCGGTCCACGATTTTAAATTTTTGGTGAAAGTACATTGAACCGTATTCAAAGACGGTCACGGTAGACACAAGAACGACAAACCCTCCGATTAGATATAAAGTCACTATGGCACTACAACTCAAAGACAGTGTGATATTATGATATAACGGGTTATTATAACATACTTTATATAACACGGAAAATCCACAAAGGTCAAATATGGAAGTCAAGGTCATAGTTAGAAGTTGTAGCGCGAAAACGGACGTTAATGTTTTATTAGTGTACCAGAAAACTGCGGCATATCTAACAGTCAACGCTAAAAGAGCGGCACTAAAATTCACAAAGGCGATAGACACCGAATATCCATTGGGTAATCCAGTTGATGACGTTCTTGATGCTGGCACGTGGTAAGTTTCGTTGAAGACCATTGATTCGTTGAAGCTTGCCCGGACGTCACTCATGTGGGCCCTTTCCGGAGAAAACATGAAGTCGATGTCTGTCGTCCAGGCGGCATCTGAAATGATAAAAAAAAGTAAGATACAGATCTAGTTTTAAACAAATATGGGGAAATTCTCTTGGATCTTCGAGCTAAAATTGGAACGCAACCCTTGGAATATAAAATACATGAAATAGACTAATTTGTGTGAGTGTGTAGACGTGTATTGTTTGTGAGTTTTGTGTGAATCTTAAGGTATTAAATTGTCTGTTTTAAATGCTTCGGAACATCTGATCTCGAAATTATAGACTGTTAGTTTCTTGAAAATAATTGCCAAACTAGGAATTGCAGACACGCAAACTACCATATAGATAAAGTCTGTAAATCCGGTTGCCTGCAAATAACGATCTGATCGTCGGTGACTTCATAAACCTGGGATTTAGTCAGACGACAGTTAACTAGGGTTAAACGAGGTATGAAAAGACTGGTAAATTACTCCATTATCTACAATAGTCTAGTTTAGTCCAGTCAATCAATCTTGTCTACAAATCAAAGCTAGTTCATTACCGGTGTATAGGCTTTTAGTTCCTAGTTTAGATTGAAAAACGGTGATTAACTGGATGTTATCATTGACTAAATATCCTATTAGACCCATCGACTAACTAAGCTGTTTGTTACAATGGAAGTAATTTCCATTAGCTCTTTCTAGAAGTAACTTTAAAACAGGTGTTTAGTTTCAACCAATCAATGTTGTTGTTCCATTTTTTTGTTAAATCTAATCTGGAAGAAAATGGAAACCCAATGGGAAGCTTCCAGGGGTTAACGTGGAAGCTTCGTAAACAAAGGCAATAGTGAAAATAGCACACTGAGGGCGTGCAATGCCTACTTTGTGTAACAGCCGGACAACTATCCACGCCTTCTACACTCAGACTCTCTTTTAAGGCTGGTCGCAGTGACCCTCGTAATCGTCTCTCAACCTAGACAACAGACAAAATGTCAAAACTGCTAATGTAACTAGGGTGCTATTTCAGGAACGATCGTAATAATGTGAAAACGCAAACTTGCTTAAAAGTCAAACTTTCATGAGAGAGATTTAACGTATGTAGATTATTTTCCCTACCGTGAACATTATCCCCTAGTAGTATTAGTAGAGAGCGACCGGATGATCGAATGATTCATATCATTGCATTGATTTACCGCTTCCTGAGCACACACCTTCATTCTACCTACACTACCAGGATGGATCCTGCCCCCACAGAATAACAATTTAGTTATTTCAATAAGACGCTAATAGGTATGTAAGTACTAACAAATTATTTCTAGTACTTTTATTATCTTTTAACAAGTCTAATAACAAAGAAAATTGCTCGATTAGAATTTTCTCTCGCTTCATCACATCTGGTTTAATGAGTAAGGAGGAGAAAAACTCTAAGCTTGGTAAAAAATTAAAGGAAAATCTTCGATGACTTACTTTTCAGACCACCACGAGTATTTAAATTAAAAACACACTAGCAGAAAACACATGTTACAAAAAATATAAAATGAAATGGTGTTTTACGCCCTACGTTTCTGCATCTAAATGTAGTGCCATACAGTGTGCAATCTAAGCATGTCTTGCCAGGACAGAGGCATTAGCCTTCTCTTTTTCAATTCCCAACTATCGAAGTATCTTTTGCCACTCACTCGACGCCCAACACTGACAGGAGAGATGGAGGGGGGGGGGGGGGGGGGTGGTTGTAGAAACATCCAAATATCTCATGCCAGAACTGAACCCCCGTGTTAGCGATAACTCAGTAGAAGTGGATGGTCAATGGATTTTTACCTCCTGCTTTTTGTATCTTCAATATTGTGTTAACATGCGATTTCAAGCTAACAAACCCGTAAATCATTGTGGTTAGACCTTGTAACGATACATGGCCGAAATATTAACCATGTCATTGAAGGGAATGACCAGTTCTTCTGATGTACGTTTAAAACTCATTTTCGTTTTAATTTTCCAAAAATATATGAAACTAACACTAGGATTTTTTTTAAGTAGTACAATATTATATTTCAATTGTATATTTTGGAAAGGTTTCAACATTTCTCCTTCAATGATAGATTAGCATGAATTCAGAATGTTTTACTTATGTTTAAACTGTTATATTTATTACTATATATTTCATATTTCTGTCTATTATCGGCCCTGGGTTTTCAGGTATGATAGATATACGCTTTTCTACAACTGGTTTGAATTACAGAAATACATTCCAAACTGCTTCAGTCGGCTGCCAATGACGTAACTCTACCTGATGTAACTATGACAACAGCAAATTTGTAGCAGACGAAAGAAGAAAAGGAGCAGAAATAAAAGTAAAGAGATGAAATAAATAAACAGTTTAGTTTTTTATCTGGTTGCCATGGTAAACAAGCATTCTCAATACAAAAAAATACAAAATAGTTTCTCCACAAAGTTTAAACAATACCGACAACCAAAATATACACACTACAGCATTCACATTTTACAAGCAAAATAAACTTGAAAAACTGGAACAGACAATAGTAAAGTGTAGCAAATATAATCAGAACATGAGGTAACTTTTTAATAAAAAAATAAAACAATCACATGGTAGCAAAAAATCATATAAAAACCACATCATTTGCATCGTAGATGTACTCCACATTCTGCGGCTTAATGCTTTATGTATTTTAATATTATCTACCTGCCAATATTTGGATTTACGTCTTCATTAAAACGACGTAAAGATGGTACATTTTCTACCTGTGACTTAATCATTTTATTACTTCGTATACTATTTTGCAATCATTTCTCGTATTTCAGATTAAAATACATAGTGCAATGTAATGTAAGTTCCATTCTTACCATATTTTCAGATTTCAAATAAATTTCGTTATATAAAAATATTTTAAATTACCAAAATCAGTCAAATACGTTAGGTGGCGTTTCCGTAGCGCGTGCCAAATAAAAAGATTAAAGTCTCAACAATGTTAGTGTTTTGTTTCCTTGGAAACCATCTTGTCTTTGTTTTAAAATTCCACAAATTACCCAAATACCAGCTTCGACAAAAGAACCTTGTTATTTTTTACTCATATTGTTGATCACATGTAAACTTTGTCTTGAACCTCTGTTAGTTCCTTTGATGAAATGTGTAAATAGCGGAAAATTTGTCATCAGCAGACGATTGTATTAGCAAACAGACGACAGTTAACGTAAACAACAATAAGGGGAGGTAAACAGTTTGATTTCGGAGTGATACATTCCAGAACAACACCCACCTTTTCTCCAATTGTCACTAAATCAATCATAACATAGTATTGTTACATGTACAGTGTTTAACAGACGATGTATTGGTCATATGTCCAGACTGACTGATATGAGGTAAGGATGGAACGGATCTAGATCAATGAGCTGTCCACGGCGTGGTAGGAAGGTGTGACAGATGACATCGAGCAATATTTCTAAAGCAATAGCAATAGTAATTCTACTACTAAAATTCTTCAATGGACTAAGATGCTAAACCCACAATAGACTCCCTACAGTATTCCACTAACCTATTAGATGTGTGATTCCAGAACAGGAACAATGTAAAGTCAGATATTGGGACCTTCTGAGTTGGATGTTTACCTTTCTTACTTTGTATTTAAGAATCTCAACATTGATTAGCTGTATTTTATCGAATTAAACTGAAACACGACACAAGACTCGACGTTTTAACACTAAGAATTTTTTAGATCGATGGTCAGGGTATCAGTACCTCTGTACTCAGAAATCATATCATTGTTAAATGTAATCGCCACACCTTAGCCCAAAGTGCTACAAACTGTTCACGATAAAGATTCTTCGACAGTTGGAAATCGAAACGAGCAGGCTAGTGCCGCTGTCCTGGCAAAATTTCCCTCATTGCACCCTGTATGACGTTGCCCGTCTTCATTAGCCCACATGGTCCATTTATTTCATTATATTGAAGGGTACAGGTTAGGAAGCATTCTGTTACTATTCTAAGTTACATTGTCGACAATTTGAATAAGAAAAGGCCTTAACCTCCTACGAAAATATCGGAAGATGCCTCATGATTTTTATAATACCTCACAATCGTAAAAATTTGAACCGCAGCTTGTACGTCCTACTCTTCTGCACTTGATTGGACTAATTGATATAGGAGCTAATCTCATACTGCTACATGCGGATATAAAATCCTGATTTTGACAGCTATAATATATAGCTAGGAAATGAAGGGTAATTTTCTATATAGGGCCTTAGGCCAGTGATCCAACGATCTGAACAATGAAGATAATCGCAGAGGTCCAGGTCGACATCACTACTATACAGTTTAAGATTATGGACTTTACTCCTGCATTCCTGTAACCGACTCGCCCACTAAATACAGTCGTAGAGGTCGAACTATAATTCTTCTGTACATGTCTAGAATGGTAATCATCTTGATACTTTGCTGTAAATAATGAAGTGAAGAAAAAGTTGTTTTTGTAGAAACGTGAAATAAAACAAGGTAACACGAGAAAACTATTCATGTGTTTCAAAATAGAACGAGCTAGATGGTATAAAGAGTTAATGTGTATTGGTCTACAGACAGACATAGTTTTTATACCACATGTAATAATATTATATGCTACTACCTACTATTGTTCAGCGAGTTAAAAGCATTCTCGATAAATAGAAATTCACGGTTAGTAAGTCGATATAATATCTTCGGACTTTCTCCCCTTGGCAGTTGTAGGAGGAGCCGACATGCAAAAGAATTGCTCGGTGGGAAAATAAACCAATACCCCTTAGGCTACAAGCTTGGAAAAAAGAAATCGAAAAAGAGAAGACCGATAACACAATCCAAGCATCACCTTCATTAACCTAATCAGTAGCAGAAAATAAGAGGTTAATGATAGACATGAAGAGACAAATTGCAATTTCTTATAGTTATGATACATAATTTACGACAAATACCAAAGTTCTTGTAATCAAATGGGACATTTCAAAGGTGATACTGGTAACAATTAGCTGGTATCTCGAATATCAAGACTGTGTTCCTTTATACTTTTATGCTTTCACCTTACATACTGCATTGAATCTTCGATATTTTCACACGCCATTCTAACATATGTGTATCGATATGTACATTATTAATACATGAATATAACATATATAAATCATGAATATAACATAATATACAATACATGAATATACATGTAGTATTAAATCCTTTTCAAAATTGTGTAGTCAAACTTTGTTCAGAAAAAAATATGAACAAGATTTGGTGCATACAAATTACTTTCTTAAAAGACTTGATCTTCACAAAGAAATAATTTGATTTAGATGTCGATCAATCGCAAAATAAGCCTGAAATATTCAATTTATGGGAAAGAATTTTGTAGCAAAATCAAAATAAAAACAGCTAAATATGGCGTCAAGAAAAAATCATTACATGGTAATCTAATATTAAATCACCTTAATCCAATATCAAAGATACCGACTACATCCTAATATTGCCTGCATACCATGTTTTTCTTTGATGTTTACAACTGGATAAATTGATATTTTTTATATATACCTTTAGAATAAACAGTAATTGTACATCTAAGATGAAGAAATAGAAAACGGAGACAACGTCATTTTTTTTCACTTTCAAGGCTTTTTTATTTTACCTTTTCTACAGTCAGTAAAATAAATTAGATATTTTACAAGAGATAATTTTCTTCCGCATCACCGATTCAAAAATCCTAAAGTTACTTTACAAGATAGTGTCTGAATTTTTTTCCGCGGACTCATAACAAAATTAAACCTCGTGCAGCTAAATATAAGACTGTAAAAAGAAATTCCTCTTTGAAGACATAATAAGATGCTTTCATGGGTAAAATCACATTACACTTAAGTAAACTTTCATTCGTCTAGAAATAAAAAATAATTTAGATCCAGACGTTTTGCTCCTTCTTAAACTTGGACTTAAACCCGCAATTTGCAACGGTTGTTCAATATAAAACTGATTCTTATACTTCATCAGCACATCCAGTATCAACAATTATTTCATTTTATTTTACGCCCATTTCTCATTGATGTTTCCTGACCTATTTCATCACCAAGTTCCAATTTCTTCTCTTCCCACGAAGCTAATATTTAAAAATCGATTATTAAGTTAAAAGTGTTAGTAATCAGTCTATAGTGTTGAATGAAAGTAATTAGACCACCAACAAGGCTTTTCATAACGGTTGGC